AGTTTGTTTTCTGTCTAGTGTTTTGGCCGCGATCTTGTTGACAACCGGATCTTGTCTCTTCGATGAATTTCTAATAGAGGCGAGGGGTCTAAAAGACCCATGAATCGGCGCTCACGCCGAACTTTAAAATCAGCTATGACACTTGGGTTGGCATAAGAAAAGGGATTCATTTTCATGACGGCCACAACGTTGGATATACACCAAAATGTTAGGTTCATCGCGAACTAAATATACGAGAACATTATGTTATGAACTTTAGAAAAATTATACAACAGTAAATAGATAAAATGAAAGGAGAAGATCACGTACTCATAGACACAATGAACGTGATCTGACGCAACAAGCAAAACACTTCACTCATAAACACAATGAATGTGATCTGACGCAACAAGCAAATTACTTCAGGAAGAAATGAATTTATTGTGGCCAGAGGAATTTGAAGATCTACTTTCGCTTAAAATAGGGAGAGAGGGGGAGAGAGAGCAAGGGGCAGAGCCACAATTTTAAATCTACCCGGGCTAGAAAGCCTAGAATTACTTTGCGAAAAATAATTGGCCTCTTGCAACAATAAAATAAAAAATATAACATTGAATACTGCAAATATAAAAATTGGCCTCTTGCCAAAAAAAAAAAAACAACTGCTATAATGTTTTGTATTTTTTGTGTTCATAATTCATCACTTATTAGATATTTAATGAAAAATAATTAATTTAAGAAAATATTAAATTGTAATCTATGTTTTTACCTCCATTTTCATGAGAAAACATCTCTTCTCCAACCCCACAAATTATAAAACATTGAATTAATTGGTTGATATAATTAAATTATTAAAATTGAATTAATTTATAGATTATAATTAAGTTACTAAACATGATAATTTACTAAATATGATAATCTGCTATACATAATATTTTATTGAACATGATAAAACATCTGAAAAAGGGTAAAAACGCACCTCAATATTTAAGGAAAATAGACGGCGAAGTCACGGCCCGAGAAGGAGCAGTATTCTATTGAGGAATTTACACCCCGTCCCTTTATAGTTTATTTATATTACATTTATAAACTCCTTTCATTTTTATTTATAAAATAGCTAAACAAACACAACAATATTACAATTATACCTAATATAATGTGTTAGAAGATATAACCGTTCATCATAATTTTTGCCCAATATTTTGCTCTCTCGCGTCATCAATAGCAGGGTTCAGAATCCTTTCTTCTTCGATCAAAATCTCGCCCACATCAGAAAAATCTGAGCCAAAAATTCATCTCCCTCCCTGCCTTTACTCGCTCGCCGTCGCACCAGTGGCTCTTGGTCGGTGTTTTTCCCTTCATCTCTTTTTCGGTCGGCCCAACAGAGAGATGAGGAACACCTCGGGGCTCAGTCCACGAAGTTCGACCGTTCTCGTGGCAGCGTATTGCACCGACGAGTGCCACACCCAACAGATCCAAGTCGATTTGTCCACCGTAGAAGTCGTGTTCAGCCGACGTTTGGTAGCAGCCGCTCGTCCACCGGAGAAGAGTTCTCGCCATCTGAAATCAGGAACCATCATAGCCCGCACGCATGGAGTTCTGTTCACACCGAGCAGATTTTTTTTTCAAGTACAAAATCATGTGTATGTTTGAAAAATATACGTCTTTAAATCTATAAATTTCCTGAGATTTTTTACGATGAAGGCTAATGATATTTCGTATTGGATTTCTTCTTGTGTGGATTTTTCTCCATATTTTCAAAGCATCGAGTTGGGTATATGTTGGGTATATCTGAGTATATCCGAAGTAACTTTTCTCTGGTTATCTGTTTAATAATTCCTTTTTTTCTTGGGTTATATGTTGGGTATATCCGAGTATATCCGAAGTAACTTTTCTCTGGTTATCTGGTTATCTGGTGGGTATATCCGAGGTAACTTTTCTCTCTATCTGAAGTATCTTTTCTCTTTTTATGCTATACACTTTGTCACTGACTTTCTGCACATGTTACACATTTTTAGTATATTTGAAGTATATTTTTGGTGTATGTTAGTATATTTCTGCATCTGCGTGAATTATAATATTGCAACATACACTGAATATATACTAACATAAACTCAAAATATACCACCTGGCGGCTGCTTGAATTACAATGTACAAGTTGCGTGAATTTAGGAAGTAATAAATGAATCACTTATTATTTTTCTTTTCTCTCTTAATCAAGTCCACAAAAAGGGGGATGAAAGTTAAATATATATGGTAACTGCTATTGATGCAATCTCATAAATAAATTAGCTTCATTAGGTATAATTGAAAATACTTTCATATGAAAATAAATTTGAAAATATTTGTATATCTTATAGGAGGACTAAAAATTTTCCTATTCTATTCTCACCTAAATATGTTGAATTGGTGTCTGCTAGAGGGTGAGAGCCTAATAAAATAAGAACAGAGTGATTAGTGGGCTAACATTAATGTAATACTAATATATTGTTGGGTTATATTTGATTTAATATTTGTAATATGGGAAATTTACATAAATAACCAACTCTTAAAATTATTTACATAAAAACCCTGGTTTGTGAGAAGTCCAAAATTACCTTTATTCATTCCAAAATAATACAAACAGTTACAATGGTAAACAATTACAATGGGAAGTTACATAAAATTAATTTAATAATAAATTCAATAATTAATTGTTCTCTCCATCCTCTTTCTCTTTCTTCCTTCTCTCTCTTATTTTCTTCATGTTTTCATGTCTTCTCTCTTTTCTTCTCTCCCTTTTCTTCTTCATCTAATTTCACATGTCTCATCTCTTCTCATGTTTCTTCTTCTTTTCCGTCTTTTCAAAATGAATCATAAGAATATCAACACCAAAGAAATAATTAAAAAAATGATCAGCTAAGTATACACATACATAACAATTAATTAAATTAACTAAAAAGAATCACAAATGTTTATTTTGTAACTTGAAAAATTAACAATATATATTATGAGAAACATACAAGTAACAATAAAACAACATTATAACATCGGTAAAACAACATGAAAACAAAAAAAAAAAAATTAACAATTTTGAGAAATAGAATCAAAATTACAACTGCCTTGTCCAGGGCATCACTAGATTATAAACTGAGAACACACAAAGACTCCAACATACTACTAAAAATATCCAAAAAACATTAATTACACATACAAAAATACATGACATATAACTCACCATACAATGAGTCCACCAGTATCTTTCAACAATTAAACAATCAACATAGCAACACATACAAACACAAGGACAGATTTAACTTTTGCAAAGAAAAAATAATATATATATATATATATATATATATATATATATAATTTTTGCAAAGATACAATTTTCTAGGTGGGTTTTTTTCGCCTTTTAATATCTCAAATGTTGTACTGTGAGAATAAATTGATTTTCATTCAGAGAGAAAAAAAGAATAGGGCAAACACAATAGTCGCCTACACAAACACAATACACACAATTTTTGCAATTTTTTTTCTCTTCTTTGTGGAAGAAGATGAACGGACTGTAGAAAAAAAAAATCAACCATTTCACAACACAAGTCAATAATAAACATAAAAAAAAGTTCAAAAGTGCTATTTTCCTCAAAATACACAACCAATTGAAGGAAATCAAACACACCCTATTAAAAAAAACGAAAATGGTAAAATTGAACAGTAAATTACCAGCAAGGGAATCGTCGTCCTAAGACTGCACGTGGCCTACTCCATGGACTGATCGGATTCGAAGGTATCGTTTTTTGGTGAGGAGCAAACTCCGTCGGATTTTTCGAATAGCCGGAGAGAAGGCATCGACGGTGCGAATCCACCCACTAGGAAAAAAGTGCTGGATAATCGACGTCAAAATCACGCCATAATTTTTTGGGTGTAACCGACGTAATTTTCGAGCGAATCTGAGAAGTATATGAGATAAAATAGAGAAGAAATAAAAGAGAGAGAAATGAGACGATGAATAAAAGCAGAGGAAATAAAGGGATAATGATATAGAAAAGAAATAATCGTCGAAAAGGTAGAAATTGAAATGAAAAGGAGTCTTTTTTACTTAACTGATAACTAGATTTAATTATGTAATCAATATTTATTAAAGGATACAGGGTGTCTTTAATTCTTGTAATATTTTGAGTTTATGTGGGCTGAATCAATTGAGTGGGCTGAGTTGTGTGGGCTAATTAATATGGACTGGGCTAAAATACAAAAAGATAAAAATATGTATATACAAAATACATGGAATATGGATAATTTTACCTCGGCTACAGCCCAGGTACTACAGGCTGTAGCTCCGCGGAGTGGCTCAGAGAAGAAAAACGAGAGAGAAGAGACTGAATTGATCAGAAAAATTTAGAAGTGTTCATACAAGTGCTGTATAGAGTATTATTCGTGCCTAGGGTAAGTGAGGATAAGTTGCTATTTCAAAAAAGGTAAAAATACAATAGTTGCTACAATCCAAATAACAATTTTACATATGCTAATATGTCAATTTAAAATATAGGGAGATGCCGCGTTCACGTTACGAAATCATCATTTAGATTAATTATTTCCGACAATTATATAATGATCTAACAATTACAAATCCCGACGAAATTGTTCCGTAACGAGACTATAGCATTTCCCTTCCATACAATATAAAAAACAAGTGATATTGGACATGCATATATATATATATATATATATATATATATATTAATTAAAAATTAAATACGTGGACAAGAAAATTACGTCTATCACCCCCATTTTTTCCTACTATATAATAGCATCCAGTGGTCTCTGTATTCTGTGCCTATATATACACAACCAAGATCACTCTTCTTAACCAGCACGAATCATTCGGTACAATTAAACCGGAGCTAGCGAGCTCTGCTTATAGTTACAGAGAGTTTCTGTTTATTATATACACATTACAAAATAAAACTACTTATAACCAACTCGTCTTCTTTTACCTTACAGCCTTTTTGTTTTTTTCGTGTAACAACTGTTTCACTTCCGTTATGTCTCCTCCGCCGGAAAAAAGATACGATGAAAATAAGGAGGCCCAGAAGAAGATCAGAAAGCCTGGAGGGTGGAGCTCCATGCCATTCATCTTGGGTAAACTAACTCTCTCTTTCTCTCTCACACGCGCCTACACGCGCTCACAAATATGCTGTCGTGGTGGCGCGTGGTGTCTACGCGCGGCTGCCATGGCCTACATGCTGTTTGCATTTCCCCAGTATGAAATCATTTTTTTTTTTTAAAAAAAAAAAATTGATTGTGGGAAAATGTTTTTTTTTTTTTAAAAAAAAAATTATGTTATTTTATTTTTTCCCCGATAATCTCGTTTCTTTTTAATTTATTTTCGAATTATGATTTCTTTTATTGAAATTCCATATTAATTACTACAATATTATATATGGATGAAAAGAAATAAGATTATATGAAATGAAAGATAGGGAAATTCTACGGTCCCGTTACGGTACCATCCCGTCAAGTGTTTTAACCGTTGGATCATCTATCTTATATAACTACATGCGGATCCAACGGTTAAAATATTTGACGGGATGGTACCGTAACGGGACCGTAGTATTTCCCTGAAAGATAATGTTGTTACTGTAGTTCATGCATCTATATCTCATAATATTATAATATACGGAACCATTCCTGTGGCGTTTGTAACAGTTAGATGATCATGGAACCGTCGGGTATAGTTGATCTAACGGTTACAAACCTCGACGAAATGGTTTCGTAACGGGAAATTGTAGCCAATATGATATGTTAAAGCGTGGTCTCGGAAAATAATAATTGAAGATGAATGACAAAAATTTGGTATGCAATAGGAATTACTGCTTTAAATGGGGCCCTGCTGCGTCCTATCTGATCTGAGCAAAGAGCCGCATATTATTGTGTTGATAACTGTACCAAATTGGTCACAGACACAGTGCATGTCTCATCTTTTCTTTTTCTTTTTTTTTTTTTTTATTTATATTATTTTGTTATTATTATTGAATATTTGCTCTTTTTTTTTCTCTTTTATTTTCTTCTTCTAAAATTAGCATAGAAACTACCGAGTGCCGAAAACTCCACGATACTTCTCCGAAGACAAATATGATTTAAGTAACGGGAAATACGACGGTCTCGGTACGAAATTATCCCGTCGGAAATTATAACCGTTAGATACACATTTGATTAGTATAAGATAGATGATCTAACGGTTAAAACACCCGACAAGATAGTTGCGTAACGGGACAATAGCATTTCTCGTAACTAAATGGATCAAAATGAAAGTGTTTTGTTTGACGACTTTGTCCCTAGTGTATATCTTAGCAGAAATATTGTCATCATTTTAAGCTCCAACTATAACTAAAAACTTTTCTACTCTACACACCACCTGTGAAGCAAACAAGAATGTCCTAGCTAGACTAGGTTCCGAAATTTTGTTATATCTAGGTAAAATATAGTATTAATTAAAGTTGCTCTATGCTTGAGTAGTAAAATAATGATTTGATGTGATTTGTCGTTAAAAATGTGAGAGATGCTACAGTCTCGTTACAGAAACCATTCCGTCGAGGTTTGTAACCGCATCATGTAACCGTCGAGATAGTTGATCTAACGGTTACATGAATCTCGTATATAATTTATTTATTTATTTATTTGTGACAGGAAATGAGACTTTTGAAAGACTAGCGTCTATAGGGTTGGTAGCGAATTTCATGGTATTTCTACTAACGGTGTTTCACATGGACCAAGTGCTGGCCTCAAATGTGCTCAATGTCTGGTCTGCCTTCTCCAATTTCAGTCCCTTGATTGGTGCTTTCATTTCGGATTCTTTCCTCGGCAGATTCAAAACTATTGCCTATGCTACCTTTGCCTCCTTTGCGGTATGGCCCTCTAATTGATCTTACGAGAAATGTTACGATCCCATTACGGAACCATTCCGTCGAAATTTTAACCATTAGTTCATCATGTAACAAATCTCGACTCGACGGAATGATTCCGTAACGGGACTGTAGCATCTTCCTGATTTATACGTACTGTTTAATCAGTGCAGTCATTTAAAAAAATAATAATAATTAGATATAATTAGCATGAGTCACGGTGCAATTTGTGGAAGAATAAAACAAATTAATGTCAAGCTAGGCTAGTTAGATTAACATTTAATATTACAAAATATTCGTGGTATCACAAAGTCTTCGAATTGGAATATTTTTAACTGCCAGCCCCGGTTAATTTGTTTGATCCTTTTTAAAGTTTAGCTGATATATAATGAAGTCACGTATTGTTTCACCGTGTTAGGACTTATAAGTTGCATTAAACTAACTTATGTCATAGGTCATATACAGGACTCTACACAAAATTGCGTCTTATATATAGGGTCTAATTATTATCATTTGTCTTCTAACTTATGAATTAAATTATATTTTGTACTTGCCTACTTATAAATATCCCACTTTAATGGTGCACTTAAACATCTAATTCTTTAGAAATGTTACGGTCCCGTTACGGAACCATTTCGTCGGAGTTTGTAACCTTTACATCATGATGTATGTAACCGTCGGAGATAACTGATCTATCGCCTACAAACTCCGACTGAATGGTTCCGCAACGGACATGATTGATTCACATTTATAATTTGCAGTCCAAGTTCAATCATTGATCACTGTACAGAGATAGATTGAATGCCTCACTGATCTTATAATAATTAGGATTACATCAATTTGCCAATAATAATTGCTCCCATGCATTTTATAATTTTAGCCAATATAACAAGCAAAGTCGATCATGATAACAAGTAAAATTTTTATCCTTAATTAATAAAAAAATAAATATCTCAAAACCCGACAATAATTAATTAATTTGTGGACCTAACCAAACAGGGCATGCTGACGTTGACCCTGATCGCGTGGATGCCCCGACTGCACCCTCCCCCGTGCAAGCCCCGTTCCCAGCAATGCTTGGGCCCAAACGGGGCTCAATTCGGGGTCCTTGTCATGGCCCTAGGCTTCCTGTCCATCGGCACAGGCGGCATTAGGCCGTGCAGCATCCCTTTCGGGGTGGACCAATTCGACGCGTCCACGGAGGAAGGACGGCGGGGTATCACCAGCTTCTTCAACTGGTACTACACCTCCTTCACCGTCGTCCTCATAATTGCCCTCACGCTCGTCGTCTACATTCAGGACACGGTCAGTTGGGTGTGGGGGTTCGGCATCCCCACGGCCCTCATGCTCTGCTCCATAGTGCTCTTCTTCGTGGGGACCAGGCTGTACGTCTATGTCCAGCCCCAGGGGAGCTGCTTCACGGGGGTCGCACGAGTTGTCGTATCCTCGATCAAGAAACGCAAGCTTAAGCTTCCGGAGGATGATGGCTGCGGGGCGTATCACGACCCGTTGTTGCCTTCCACCGCCATTGTGAGGAAGCTCCCGTTGACAAGTCAATTCAGGTGATTTTTATTAATTAATTTATATTTATTTATTTATTTACGTGGTTTTTTTGAAGGGGTCAAGTGTGGAATTAATGCTAGCTAGGCGTGCTTTGGTTTTTTAGGAATCTGGTTGACGTGTGTTTGCGTATATTCTGCTATGAAAAAAAAAAAAAATCAATGTTTATTGACCGTGCAAAATATGTTGAACTGCTCCCATGTGGTAGGTATACTGTTGTTATATTGTTTTGATTTTAGTTAATTAAATTATTTATGTTAGTTAAAATTAACTGCTCTGCTGCTTCACAATTACTCAATTTCATATGTATATACAGTCCATATTGAAATGAAAGGAGATGTTATGATCCCATTACGGAACCGTTCCGTCGGAGTTTACAACCGTTAGATCAACTATTCCCAGCGGTTACACGATAATCTAATGGTTACAAACACGACAGAATAATGAGATGGTAGCATCTCCCTAAATTAATGTTTCTATGTGGGGCAAAAATATCTAAACGTTGTGTGAACGCATCAAAGCTGAGGTCCTCCCTGAAAGAGAGAGATTGATCGTAGTCGTAGGCCATGTTCTGCATATTAGTCATCATGTGCAACACGCAATTCACTTCAACCATGTAGAGCAGATCATTTTTATGTCAGCTTGTTAAGCACTTTGCAAAAGCATTACGCTTTATAAGGTCGGTACTAATGATGCAAAAAAGTGAAGTCATCTTTCAAAATCACAAGTTTCTTGATGTATGCATTAGATAGATCATTCCATGTGATCATGATCAGAGTATTTTGTTGCTCTTACGGTAAGCAAGTTCCGGTCGAAAAAACTCGATTTGTTGTTCATTACTCTTTCTGTCCAGGTTCTTTAACAAAGCTGCGGTAATAACGGACGGTGAGATTTCACCAGACGGGTCGATCACCGACCCCTGGAGACTCTGCACCGTGCAACAAGTCGAGGAAACCAAGTGCCTCGTCCGCGTCATCCCAATATGGGCCTCGGGCATCGTCTGCTTCATGGCCATGGCCCAACAGGGCACATTCACCATCTCCCAAGCCCGACAGATGGACCGCCACCTCGGCCCCAACTTCCAAATCCCCGCTGGCAGCCTCTCCGTCGTATCGTTCCTCACGATCGGGATATGGCTCCCGTTCTACGACCGCGTGCTCGTCCCTTACTTCAGAAAAGCCACCAAAATCGAGGGCGGGATCACGCAGCTCCAGCGCATGGGGGTCGGGATGGTGTTCTCGATCGCGTCCATGGTGGTGGCGGGGCTGGTCGAGCGGGTCCGCAGGGCGTCAGCCACGATGCACGCGGGGCCCGACGGGGTGGCGCCCATCACGGTCCTCTGGCTGGCCCCGCAGCTGATGCTGATGGGTTTCGCAGAGGCGTTCAACATCATAGGGCAGATCGAGTTTTACAACAAGGAGTTTCCGGAGAACATGAGTAGCCTGGCGAACTCGCTTTTCTCGTGCACCATGGCCGGGGCGAACTACCTGAGCGCAATCCTCGTGAACGTTGTGCACAAGACGACGGGGGGACACGGCCGGCCCGACTGGCTGACCAATGATATTAACAAGGGAAGGGTCGAGAATCTGTACTTTCTGATTGCGGGGATGGGTGTGTTGAACTTGGTCTACTTTCTGTGGGTGTCACGTGGGTATCGGTACAAGACTGTGTTTCGGGTGGACGACGATGAGGGTGATGAGAAGTTCCATGATGTTGAGCTAAGTGCGGTTAAAAAGTGAAATTAAATAATTACTGAGGTCACTTGCGTCACCATATGTAGTTTGGGAACGAATATAGTAGTAATTAAGGTGGCAGTGAGATATAGTATGTGTTAGAGTTGTTACCATAGTCAGAATAAATATGGTTGTGAGCATGGAGAATAGCGTTGCTTTTTCCTCATTTGTGATGGAATTGTCTGTGGTATTAAACAGGATTTTCTTTTGATGACTAATGATCGAACAAGAGCTTTTTTAAACCTAGGCCTTTTTTTCTTTTGGTACAAAGAGAGAGGCTAAGTAGCGGAAATCGGTACATGTCGTGGGTTTGGTTTAACCATTGCCGGACTTCATATGGCGGCACATTTAAAGATTGGAAGCCACATGGATTCCTTGCAGGAATTCTCACCATGCAATCCACAACAAAGTTGGACCCACGAAATCCATGGAAGATCTTCACCAACCACGGCCTCGTTAACAAATCTTTGATGGTCATGATTAAAGTGTTATGTATCCCATAATCATCATCTACACTTTGTACCATCGAAAAAGTACATATAGAGACTCTCCATTTCTGCGATTACCTGACAATAACCCCAGTCTATGCTAGGTGGAGCCCTTGAAAAAGCCCCCATAATTCCGCCCCTGTAGTGGAGCAAAACCCGACGTTCATGAAATAACCCTTTATCCACCGGCTACAATGATCGCGTAGTACTCCACCGCGCTAGCCATCCCCGATAACGGGTTAAAGGAGCCATCCGAGTTCATTTTAATCCATCCCCTAGGAGGAGTCGTCCATCGCACATACACTATCTCACTTCTATCCGAACCCGAACCCTCCCAACCACCGTTCTCCCATATCACTTCAGAAAGATTACTCTTCCAAGTCTCAATTTCTCTCAACAATCCGCCCATGCAAAAGGTTTCTCCCTTAAATATTCTTCAATTTCGTGATGCGCCATAAAGCGAGCCCGAAAGTTAAATCCCAATCCGTACCTCCCAAATTTCGAGTGCTTGTCAAATTTATTATCAGTCGGTCCTCCAACTCCAATGTATTAAACTCTGTCCAATTAACCCTAGGAACTGATGTCGTGGCAATTAGTAACACTATAGGCAATGAATATTGTTAGTTTATGCTACTTCCTTGGTTATAGCCTTATAGGGGCGTTAAGACTTTGAGTAGATAATATAAGAACTTATCCTATATTCCTATTAGTAGGTACTTATCCTGTCATCAGCCATGTTTAACTCCGTAATTCAAATTGCTTCGTCAAATTATTGGACCTATCATTCTAGTGTTTTTATCGGTACTATAATATATTCCTAACTTTATTTTTATGTCCGTTATGGGGCTACATTAACTATAACAAAAAAATTAAGAAAATACGGATAATAAAGTGGGGAAGATTCTACGGTCCCATTACAGGACCATTCCATCGGGATTTGTAACCGTTAGATAAACTATCCACTACGATTACATAATAATCTAACGGTTACAAATCCCGACGAAATAATTCCGTAACGAGATTGTAACATTTTCCAATAAAGTGTTAGTCTACACCAAGCGTCAGTCATACACTTTGAAAAGTAATGCATATAAATCCAAGCAAATCTCTCTCTCTCACTAATTTGAGCACCAGAATTCCACTACAATGACATTTTGCACACAATATGAACAAGTCCACCTCAAGCATGTTAATACCCACACATACATAGTCTCCAAGTGTTGCAATTCACCACTCAACTATTATTATACAACAAATCTACACTACAAAATAGGACCTTTGACTATATATAGCCAAATGGGCCATTTAATTGAACTCACCTGTCAAAATATCAACTTTACTTGAACATTTTTTTTTTTTTTTTTTTT